CCCTAAGAGATCACATAATTACAGCGCTATCATATCTCTGTCACATAATGATAATAATAATAATAATAACTTTATTGCATTCTTAGAAGTATAAATGTTCTATTGGTTTACAGCAATAAATATATAAGTGATTAAAATAATAGCAAAGTATGATGACGTAAAAAATAGAAAAGAGTCAAGGTATTATATCCAAAGAAAGCTCATTTCTTAAAATGAATGATTTTTGTAAAAATTCCCTGAAAAGTTTTATTATATTTCTTTCATTACTTTTCATTAAATATGTGAATTTTTGCAGGTTGGTAATGATTTCTTTGGGGAATAAAATATTGGAAATAAAATCATTTCTATCTGTTTGATATTGTGGGCAAACTAAAAGAAAGTGTAATTCGTCTTCAACTTCCTGTAATGGCCATTGTTTACAAATTCTATTTTCTAATGGGGTTTTTGGTTTGGTATGTCTGCCATCGTAATCCTAATCGTACTCGTACAACTTGGCACCTATGCTCAACTAAAACTTTTGGAGCATTTCTATTTTGGGGTTCACATTCAGCTAAATGTATAAATGTATAAGAGATAACGTAGTAATCCCATAGTGATCACTTACAGCTCTATGATTAGGATTCATTAGTATGAATATCAACCATTTCCTGCGTGTATGTGCAACTTCCAGTCACACCACAGTTCCTTTGAATTTCAAACACAAAGCATCCATTTGCCATTTTAAAATTTTTCCCTCAAGTTAAAATCACGAAAATTTATCATTGCTAACAACTCGGCAAACAATAAATCGCGAATATTTCTAGCAGCGAAATTATTGTGGTTTACACTCAAGTAATTATACTCGTCTGACTCTTCAACTATGACTTTTCGGGCATTTCTATTGGGGTTCACCTTCGTTTATAGATGCCCATCACTTCAAAAATGCTCCAAATTTAACTGTCTGGTCATAAAACGTGGTCTTTGAGTAATGTTTGACTTTTCCAAATACTGGTAATCAAATTTATATAACACAATGTGGAAATCGACTGCCGTAAATATCATTCAAATGTGTAGACCCACTATGCTTCAATAATGGCCTGTTAACACTACATTCCATATTCAGCTAATAAACAACATGATTTTGTGAGTGGAGTACCTTGGTTTCGAAGTCACTTGGCTATC